GGGCCTCCTGGAGGCCGCCTGGGAGTTTTTTTTGGCGTTTTTTTTTTTGGGGGGGGTGCTTTCCCCCCTCCTTCCTTTTTATACGCCCTCCCCATTTTCCCTTCCATCGCCGGCTCCAATCATGGGCGCCGCAGCGACCAACTTCCACCTGGCTGGCGCTGCGCCGCAGTTCGCCCAGAGGGGGGAAAATAACATTACACACCAGTCGCCGTGTGGCCTTTGGGGGGCTTGTTGGAGGCCTTTTGGAGGCTTCTGGGGGACTTCTTGGAGGCTTGTTGGGGGCCTCTTGGGGCCTCTTAGGGGAGTCTTGGGCCGTCTTGGGGCGCTTTTGTGCAGTGCCGTTTCGCCCCCATCGGAGGCTGTCTTGGGGGCCTCTCGCGGCCGCATTGGAGCCCTCTTGTGGTCCTCTTGGGCCGTCTTCGCTGCCTTTTGGACCGTCTTGGGGGCCTCTTTGGGTCGTTTTGGGGCCCTCTTGGGCCGTCTTGGGGCCCTCTTGGGGGTTTTTGGGGTTACTCTGGGGCGATTCTGGAAGCTGCTTGGGCCGTCATGGATATGTGAAATCAGAAAAAGACGAGAACGCTAAAATATTGCCAACACCATCGGGAAAACAATGATTTTGGTTTCTAGAGGCGCAGTTATGGGCGCTCTTGGGCCCTGTTGGGCAGTCCTCGGAGCTTTGGGGGCCCTCTTGGGGCCGTCTTGGGGGCCTCATGGGCCCCCGTTGGGAATATCTTGGCCGTCCTGGGCCGTCTTAGGGCCATCTTGGGCTATCTTGAGGCCCTCTTGGAGCCCCAAGAGGCCCAAGAGGCCGAATTTGCTGATTTGTCATAAGTTTTTATAGGTTCTTAGGGCCCCAGAAAGGGGGCGTCACTTTGGTCCGGCGGTGTTGCGCAGCTCCCAGGGGGGGTTAGGGGGGGAGACATAACAATGTAACACAATACAATGTGTTGCAATTATGGAATCTTTGGATACATGGGATACGTTGCATTAAGGCGTTCGCCGAAAAACGCTGCCGCTCAGCACGTCACCTCCGGACGTGGATTTACTGGCTTACGCCACACCGCCGACCCCTTCGGGCGGCAGCAATCGTCCGCCGCGTGGCTTGTCCGGACAGAGTTTGACACGTTTTGGAGCCCTCTTAGGACCGTCCTGCCGTTCCCCCGGGCCGTTGCTATGGTTTCTGGGGCCTTCGTTGGGCGCCCGGAGGACTTCGTGGAGCCTTTTGGAGAGTCTCTTGGGGTGCCAGAGGCCGACCTTGGAGGTTTACTGGGCCGCTGTGGGCCTCGTGGGAGCCGAAGAAACGAATGTGTGAAAGTGTCTGTTTTCCCCCATGGGATGGGACGGTTTTTGCTCCTGGAGGCCTGCCCTGGTCGCGTATGCAAGCGTCTTGGACGCCCGTGGGTCTGTCTGGAGGCAATCTTGGGCGATTTGGACCGAATCGTCCCCCGCGTGGGCCGTCCGGACAGCCTTTGGGAGCCCTCTTGCCCGGTTTTGGAGCCCTCTTCGGACCGTCCTGCGGTTTTCCTGGGCCGTTGCTATGGTTTCTGGAGCCTTCGTGGATCGCCCGGAAGCCGTCTTGGGTTTTTTTGAAAGGGTCTTCGGGTGACAGGGGTCGATCTTGGAGGTTTATTAGGCGTTTGTGGGATTCGTGAAAGCCCAAGAAGCGAATGTGCTGAAAATATACGTTTTACCCGGGGAATGGGAAGGTTTTTGCTTTTGGAGGTCTTCTTGGAGCGCCTCGTGGTTGCGTTTTCAAGTTTCTTGGACACCCATGGGGCCGTCTGGCGGCGATCTTGGGCGGTTTGGACCGAGTCGTCCCCCGCGCGGGCCGTCCGGACAGCCTTTCGGGGCCCTTTTGCTCTGTTTTGGAGCTATAGGACCGTCCTGTGGCTTTCCTAAGCCGTTGTTATGGTTTCTGGAGCCTTCGTGGATCGCCCGGACGCCGTCCTGGAGCTTTTTTGGAAGCCTCTTCCGGTGACAGGGGTCGATCTTGGAGGTTTATTGGGCGGTTGTGGGCCTCGCGAAAGCCCCAAAAGCGAATGTGGTGAAAATGTACGTTTTACCCGGGGAATGGGACGGCCTTTGCTTTTGGAGGCCTTCTTGGAGCGGCTCGTGATCGCGTTTTCAAGCGTCTTTGACACCCATGGGCCATGGGGCCGTCTGGCGGCGATCTTGGGCGGTTTGGACCGAATCGTCCCCCGCGCGGGCCGTCCTGACAGCCTTTGGGAACCCTCTTGCCCCGTTTTGGAGCCCTTCTGGGACCGTCCTGCGGGTTTCCTGGGCCGTTGCTATGGTTTCTGGAGCCTTCGTGGATCGCCCGGAAGCCGTCTTGGAGCTTTTTTGGGAGGCTCTTCGGGTGACAGAGGTCGATCTTGGAGGTTTATTGGGCGGTTGTGGGCCTCGCAAAAGTCCATGAAGCGAATGTGCTGAAAATGTACGTTTTACCCGGGGAATGAAACGACTTTTGCTTTGGAGGCCTTTTTGGAACGCCTCGTGGTCGCGTTTTCAAGCTTCTTGGACACCCATGGGGCCGTCTGGCGGCGATCTTGAGCGGTTTGGACCGAGTCGTCCCCCGCGCGGGCCGTCCGGACAGCCTTTGGGAGCCCTCTTGCCTCGTTTTGGAGCCCTCTTAGGACCGTCCTGCGGCTTTCCTAAGCCGTTGCTATGGTTTCTGGGGCCTTCGTGGATCGCCCGGACGCCGTCCTGGAGCCTTTTTGGGAGCCTCTTGGGCTGGCGAGGGTCGATCTTGGAGGCTTCTTGGGCCGTTTTGCGCTGCGAGGTAGCCGAATGGGCGAATGTGGTGAAAATGTACGTTTTCTTTTGAAATGAAACGATTTGTGCTTCGGAGGTCCTCTTTGGGGCGCCTCGTAATATGTTTCAAACGTCTTGGGTACTTATATAGCCGTGTGAAGGCAATCTTCGGCGATTTGGAGCGATCTTTCGTCGATTCGTAGCTCTCTTGGACCGTTCTGGGAACCTTTGGAACCTTTTTGGCCCGTTTTGGGGCCTCCTGAGGCTCCAAGTGTGCGGATGATGGATTTGCCCCCCCCCCCCCCACCCTCCAAACCGGCCGGAGCAGGCCCCCGGGGAGGGGTTTGGGGAGGGGGAAGCATCTTACACTCCGTGACCCCAAGGGGTCGGCGGATTGCGAATGCGCTGAACATGTACGTTTTTCGAAGTGGGTGGGATGGTTTTGGCCTCCTTGGGCCCTCTCGGCGATCCTCTTGAGGCGCTTTTGGGCTGTCTTTGTAGCGTCGGGGGCCATCTTCGTGGATCGTCGTGGGGATACCCTGGGCCGTAATGGCGCTCTCTTCGACTTTCTTGGCGCTCTGTCTCGGCCTCGTTGGGCTGTCTTGGGGCTTTTTCGGGGCTCTGGAGGCCCCAGGGGTGCGTTGACGAGCTCGTTCCTCCCTAGCATGGCATTTTGGACCCCAGGCTATGGGGAAACGGGGTAGGGGGACAGCCAAACATCTCACACGCCTTTTCACCCCTGCAAGTGGGGTTGCGCGGATTGCGATGATTAGGATGCTGACGACCATGATAATAACGATGATGGCGCCGGCAATGATGACGACGACGACGACGACGTAGACGACGGCGGTGGCGGCGGCCACGACGACGACGAAGATGATGCAGATGATGCTGATGATGATGCTGATGATGATGATGACGATGATGGTGATGATGAGAGGCTGATGCTGATGCTGATGGCGATTATGATGCTGATATTGCTCATGATGCTGATGATGGTGATGCAGGTGCTGCTGCTGCTGATGATGACGATGCTGATAATGCTGATGATGCTGATGATGATGATGATGATGAGGATGATGATGTTGCTACTGGTGATGATGTTGATTATGATGCTGATGCTGCTGCTGCTGATGATGCTGATGCTGATGCTGATGCTGATGCTGATGCTGCTGATGATGATGCTGATGATGCTGACGCTGATGTTTTGTTGGGACCGGTGATGACGAGGACGGTGTTGTTGATGGTGATGTGATGATGCTGGTGATAATGCTGATGATGATGATGATGATGATGATGATGGTGGTGGTGGTGGTGATGATGATGATGCTGCTGCTGCTGATGATGATGATGATGCTGATGCTGATGCTGTTGATGATGACGATGATGCTAATGATAATGATGCTGATGCTGATGCTGATGCGGATGATGATGATGATGCTGCTGCTGATGCTGATGCTGATGCTGATGATGATGTTGATGCAGCTGCTGATGCTGATGATGTTGCTGATACTGATGCTGCTGCTTCTGCTCTGGAAGGGGAGGAGGATAAGAAGGAACAGAGGCAGGACCAGTACCAGGAGCTGGAGGCAGTGGCCTGAGGCAGGTGGAGAATGAGTTGAGGTAGAACACGTGGGCGGATGAGGCGGAGGAGGAGGAGCAGGAGGAGAAGGAGAAGGAGGAGGAGGAGCAGGAGGAGGAGGAGGAGGAGGAGAGAGGAAGAGACTGAGAGTAGGAGGAGAGGAGGAAGAGACTGAGGAGGAGGAGGAGGAGAGGAAGAGGAGATGAGACAGGAGAATGTGGAGCAGGATGAGAAGGGGCAGGAGGGGCAGTAATAGGGACAGGAGGAGTTGGAGTTGGAGTGGAGGAAAAGAAGGAGGAGGATAAGAAGGAGGAAAACAAGGGAGAGGAGGACGACGACGAGGACGAGGAGGAGGAGGAGGAGGAGGAGGGAGGAAAGGAGAGGAGGAGGAGGGAGAGGAGGAGGAGGAGGGAGGAGGAGGAGGAGGAGAGGAGCAGAGGAGTTGGAGGAGAGGAGGAGGGGGATGAGGAGGAGGCAGGAGGAGGGGCATGAGGAGGAGGTGGAGGAAGAGGAGGTGAGGCAGGATGATTCTGATGATGGTGATGCTGATGCTGATGATGAGGAGGAGGAGAAGGAGAAGGAGGAGGAGGAGGAGGAGGAGGAGGAAGAGACTGAGGAGGAGGAGGAGGAGGAAGAGGAAGAGGACACCGCCGCTCCCGCCACTTGCAGAGCAGCACCGCGGCCTGTGGGGTCTGGCCCTCCCCGCGACCCCACCCCTCCGAGGGAGGGGGGGCGTTTCGGTCGCGCGCGCCCCGCGCGCGACTGGGGCGCCGCCATGAGCCGGCCAGAGCACCAGGCTCAGGGGCAACTTTTGGGGTGGGTGGGCTCAGGGAAGGGGCTCTGATGTCTCCAGGGGCCCTGCGCGGATCCCTGGACCGTACGGGAGAACCGAGGACGAGGAGCTGGTGCTGCGGGAATGCTCTGGTGTCCAGGACCCGTTCTTCTGAGAACCCGTGTTTTTTCACGCCAAGGTAGGGGGGGATGGGCTCAGGGCGGGATGCATCGACTACCATCCCCCATTCATCGCCGACACGGGCCCGACAACCCACCCGCCCAGGACCTTGCGGTTCTTCTATCGGGGGCCCGTCGCCGATCTGTCGCCGATGCATCGCCGATTCGGAGTCGACGTTGGCCCCCTGAGCTGGTCTCCTTCCCTTTCGTCCCCCCCCCCACAGGCGCCTCCAGAGATCTTCTACAACGACCAGGCCGCTGTGCAATGATGGGTAGAGAAGTGGAGGATGGGATCGGACGGGGCCAGGACGAGGATAATTCCGTTCCAAAGCGTTCCGGAGCGCTCTCAGAGCGCTCCGGAACGCTCTGAGAAGGCCGCGGCGCCCGAGACATCCTCCAGAGTCGCGGGATCTCAGAGATTTTCGATTGCTAGTCCACCCACATAGGAAGGATGGGCAACCTTCCCAAGGATGCCCTTGCATCCTTGCCTCCTCGGTCCATCCTCGGCCACTCTCGTTGGCCGCGGCACGCTCGAAAAGCTCCGAGCTGGGCGCCCAAGGCCCTTGCATCCTTACCGCGCGCTCTTATGAGACGGGTTGGCTGCAGACTCACCCGATGTCGGCCTCGTCTTGGCTCCGTCTTAGGATGGGCCGTGAGGCGGCGTGGCCCCAGGGTTCTGGCGACGTCCTCGGGGGCAACGTCACGGGGGGTATTGGCTCGGGGGGGACTTCCTCCTCCTCCCCCTCCTTCTTCCTCATCCTCCTTCCTCCTCCTTCCTTCCTTCTCCTCTTGATCCTCCTCCTACCTCCTCCTCCTCCTTCCTTCCTCCCCCTCCTCCTCCTGCCTCCTCCTCCACCCGCGCCCGTGCGGCCGCCCACGAGGCCCGAGCGCCGTGGGGGGCCTCTCTTTCCTCTTCCCGCTCCTTCCTGCCACCCTCGAGGTAGGGGTGGCCCACCTCCTACCCAGATCATGCGTTACCGAAAAAATTCGGTAACGATCGGGAACGACCGATCGCGACCGATACCGCGAAAATTTCGGTAACCATCGGTCGCGGCCCGTTACCGCGAAAGCGTCGATTTCGGTAGCGAGCGGTAGCGCGCGGTAACGGATTTTCAACGATTTAATTGGAAATTCATGCTGGAGTTGCCGACCGCTACCGACCGTTACCGATTCTTGCTGCCGACCGTCACCGAACGATTTCATGAAAATTCCGTGGTGGGAACCAGCATTATCATCACCGCCATTATCATCATCACCAGCAGCATCATCATCATCATCGTCAACATCATCATAGTCATCATCATCATCATCACACTCATCATCAGCATCTTGATCAACATCACAATCACCATCATCATCATTACCTCAAACATCAGCATCACCAACATCATTCAGACCGTCACGGCTAGCATTATCACAATGGTCACCATGATCATCATCATCATAATCTTCAACCCACCGTCATCACCATGATCATATTCGTCTGCATCACCATCTCGTTCCTCCTCCCCGTCATCCCGAACATGTTCGCTCCTCCTCCTACCATCCTTCATCCTTCTCCAACTCCTCCTGCTACTACTACGACTGCTCCTAGTACTACTACTAATACTACTAATACTACGACTACTACGACTACTACGACTACTACGACTACTACGACGACTACGACGACTACTACTACTAGTACTGCTACTACTACTACTACTACTACTACTACTACTACTACTACTACTACTACTACTACTACTACACTACTACTACTACTACTACTACTACTACTACTACTACTACTACTACTACTACTACTACTACTACTACTACTACTAGTGCAACAAGTATTATAACTACTACTTTTACTCCTGCCCCTACTCCTACTCGGAAAAATTTAGGACCAGCAAGGGGATGAGGACGGAGAGGGGGATCAGGAGGAGGAGGAGGAAGAAAATATGATCAGGAGGAAAAGGAAGGAGGCGATGACCAGGAATAGGAGGAGGGGGGGCAAGCATGTGGTTCAGCATGAGGAACTGTGCGCTCACGGGACTGGGGGGGCAGGCATATGCCGAGCTGTGCGGGTTGCTCCTGCCCCCCTCGATTGGCTGTAAGAAGGGGAGGTTCGGGTGGCTAAGGAGGGGGGCGGTCGGGACCGTACCAGCCCCCCCCTCAACCCCCGAGCCAGTCCCCCAGTCAATATCCCCAGTGGCGCGGCCTTGGCCATCGGCTCTTAATGTGGCGCGGCCTCATCACCCCACCGCGATGACATCTCAGTCGCGGCGGGGGCGTGAGGCGCGCATGGCATGAGGACGACGTTTGTGATATCAAACGGAAAACGATGGATCATAACTATTACTACTACTACTACTACTACTACTACTACTACGATTACTACTACTACTACTACTACTACTACTACTACTACTACTACTACTACTACTACTACTACTACTACTACTACTACTACTACTACTACTACTACTACTACTACTACTACTACTACTACTACTACTACTACTACTACAACTACTATTACTACTACTACTACTACTACTACTACTACTACTACTACTACTACTACTACTACTACTACTACTACTACTACTACTACTACTACTACTACTACTACCTACTACTACTACATACTACTACTACCACTACCCCTACTACTACTACTACTACTACTACTACTACTACTACTACTACTACTACTACTACTACTACGACTACGA